CGATGGCCTCCAACCCACTAGCGATGGCCTCCAACCTAATAGAGATGGCCTCCAACCTAATAGCGATGGCCTCCAACCCACTAGAGACGGCCTCCAACCTACTAGCGATCGCCTCCAACCCAATAGAGATGGCCTCCAACCAAATAGCGATGCCCTCCAACCCACTAGCGATGGCCTCCAACCCAATAGCGATGGCCTCCAGCCTGGTAGCGATAGCCTCCAACCCACTAGCGATGGCCCCCAACCTAATATCGATGGCCTCCAACCTACTAGCGATTGCCTCCAACTCCAACCTTCTAGCGATGGCCTCCAACCTAATATAGTTGGCCTCCAACCTAATAGCGACCAGCGATGGCCTCCAGCCTAGTAGCGATGGCCTCCAACCTGATAGCGATGGCCTCCAACCTAATAGCAATGGCCTCCAACCTAATAGAGATGGCTTCCAATCTGATAGCGATGGCCTCAAACCCACGAGCGATGGCCTCCAACCTAATAGCGATTTGCCTCCAACTTACTAGCGATGGCCTCCTCCAACCCAATAGCGACTAGCGATGGCCTCCAGCCTAGTAGCGATGGCCTCCAACCTGATAGCGATGGCCTCCAACCTAATAGCGATGGCCTCCAGCCTAATAGAGATGGCCTCCAACCTGATAGCAATGGCCTCCAACCCACTAGCGATGGCCTCCACCCTGGTAGCGATGGCCTCCAACCCACTAGAGATGGCCTCCAACCTAATAGAGATGGCCTCCAACCTGATAGGGATGGCCTCCAGCCCACTAGCGATGGCCTCCAACCCACTAGAGATGGCCTCCAACCTAATAGAGACCTCCAACCTAATAGCGACCAGCGATGGCCTCCAACCTAATAGTGATGACCTCCAACCTAATAACAATGGCGCGACATAGACTTTGGCTTTTGCATCCAGAAGGTCCTGCGGAGGTGGCCCGCTGCTCAGTCCAGGTGAAAACCGTTAGACACCTCATGAGCGAGGGTCGGAAGCGGTTCATAGGTTGCTAGTTGTAAGGATTAGCATGAGGTTGTTAAGTTTTTTAGAATTGCTTTGAACATGGATGGCCAAAGACATTTGGCTAAGTCTGAGGTTGAGGGTACCACCATCGAAGTGGCCACCCCTGCATAATTGATTATGTATTTGCAGCATGTGGCAATCTTGCCGCCAGTGAAGAGTCTTCGTTCAAAAAAAATCATGCCAGACACTACAGAAGCCCACAGGCCATGTAGTTCAGTGGCATATCTGCGTTTGTGTCGACTTTCGGATGTTGGCCCAGTGTTGCTCAAGTGCAGGTGAGGATGATGACACAGAGTCTCCCAATTCATCTCCGGACCAGCCCCAAGGAAATGACGTTTTTTTGGAAGTCGGAGCACATATCTCACAGCAAAGGACATATGAAGTGATTGGAGTCTTGACTCTTGACAAGAAAATCAATGTTGGAGCCAGCCAGATCAAAACCCAGGAAATTCCGATAGAATTCCTTGACATGATGGAAGCAGTGGAGGAAGAGGCAGGAGCGGTGCAAAGGCAAAACCCAGTGAGACTCATTGAGACCGCCTTCAACCTAGAAGCAACGGCATCATTAGATATGTATTTTTGCCCGGGTAGGCCGCTAGATAGGGTAGCTAGTAGAAGAGAGGTAGCTACTAGCTACTAGTTAGCTAGTAGCTACTGGACGCAGGATAGCGACTAATGATTTTGTTCCTAGATATATTAGACCTTTCTTCCGTTTTTCTTTCTTTCTACTAGCAATGGCCTCCAACCTACTAGCCATGGCCTCCAACCTAATAGCGATGGCTTCCAACCTAATAATAATGGCCTCCAACCACTAGCGATGGCCTCCGACTCTGAAAAGTGCACAGTTTTTCACGTGGAATGGACACCTTACTCACACCTCTGACAGTTGGCAGGTTCTGGAAGAAGATTGCCTCATAGATGACGAGGTGTTCTTTCTTTTGTGTTTCTTGCTTTAGACCTTTCTTTCTTTCTTTCTTGGCAGGTGCTGGAAGATGATGGCTGCATAGGCAGCATAGATGAGGCAGGGGAACAGTACATAGCGAGATTTTCTCAGCGCCTCCGTTGCAAAAACTTGGAAGTTCACTGGGGTTCAAGTCTTCTGTCCATGAGAAATCGTGATGAATGAACATCACAACGGCCACACATTAAAAGAAAAGAACTATTGTTTGAAGCCAAGCTCTGACAGGATGCCATGGCTCAACCCGTGGCATTGGGTGAAGAAGATACACCTCCACAG